CCCTCTGTAAATGCCCACTGAAAATATGGAGGGAGAGGCCAAAGGAGTGAAAATAAGTGAACATTCAGATGTGTCCTTCAAGTGAAAACAGACTCCCTTGAGCAACCTTGAAGTTCAGGCCCAGCAGTCTCTGAACCAGTGCGGTCACTTGGCCAGGGGCTGTTTTGTACTGGTTCAACTCCCCCTGCTATGCTGTCCTTGAATGCCAAACCCTTTGGCGTGCCAGATGTAAATTCTTTGGGATTGAACTTGAAGGCTTCATGAGAGGACAGCTTGACCAACTTCATTAGTATCAAAACGCATTTCCTTTCCTTCAGCTGACATGACTTCCCACTGCAGCACTGACAACGGTGTCCTGGATAGGAGGGTGCACCAGCTAATATGTATTTACCAGCTGAGACTCTCCTGTCACTGAGGCTTTCTCTAATACTACACAAAGGCTGATTACAGCAAAGTTGTCTGAAGTTGCTTTTAAGATTATTCTTTTTAAGTGATGTCCAGGCTTTCCCTGCATTCATTGGTATATTCAATACTCCAGTTAAATCACACTTGTAGCTCTGCATATTTCTAATATCCACAGATGGGAAAGATACTGATTGCAGTATTTAAGAGCCACCCTCACTGAAAAACCAGTTGTTGGTTTGTTCCAAAAGGTAGGGGCAAAACTGTTTCTTTTCATGAGGATGGATTTCAGTTACATTAAGCAAATTTGGTTCTACAGCAGGCCCTGATGAAACTAAGAAATAAACAGCAGCAGGCAAATAGGGGAGGTGTATGGGGAAAACCTATTTTACCTCCTGGCTGGGGAGGATATGAGCATGGATTTCCATAGCTCTTCTAATACTTGGATATCCAGATAATCTGGATATATAAATATGTAGAAAAAGATGCAGTTGTACATAATATCTACAAATGTAGATGTTTATCTGTAGTTTAGTGTTTAGTCCTCCTTCCATTCATAATTCTTATCTTTCAGTGTCGACAAAACTTTTTTGTGGGGGAATTATCAGTCTCCACTCAACTGTTTGAATTTCGAACTTGTTTTGTTCTTGTGTTTAAGAAAATCCAGTTAACACTGCCAACCTTTCCTTTCTGTACCATTCATTATTTTTATGTGCTTGTCCTGCTTCCTCTTTTTTTTGTCTCCTATGAAGTCAACAGCTCCAAAATTTTTGCTCTTTCTGCAGAGGGGAGATTTTCTCCTTCTTTTTTGATTGCAAGCTGCTATCTAGTCAGACACCAGGCTAGAGGGGGCGAGAAAAAGTGGGGACTCTCTCCTTGTAGGCAATGACTAAACCAGATTGTTGTTCCTAGTGGAGACAGAAATAGGCAAACAGGTTCTCAGTTTAGGCCCCCTGAACATCTTGGTTGAACAAAAAAAATCTGTTAAAAGGTGCTAAACTTAACATTTTTCATTTGAGAAGTTTCTTCATGTTTTCCCTAAAGTGAGAACCCTTTAACCTTCTTTTGCCCCTCAAAAAACCAAAAAAAAAAAAAAACCAAAAACAAAAACCCAACAAAAGCAAAAACCTGCAGGGTGTTGTGACATTACTATGGTTTGAATTAATTTGAGGTGTACTCACAGAGTTGCTGGGGTCTGGATCACCATGCACAAGACTGCTCTTTAGCCCAGACAAAACTGCATAAAACCCATCCTTTGACAGTTGCCTTCTGCTTCCAGGAGCACTTTTCCCATTAATTCATTTGCATTCAGGGCTGCTCCTGTATGCCAATTAGCTTTAATTTTTACTATACACACTGACATCAATGGCCAATGAGAACAGGGCATAGCGGGGTTTTTACTGTGCCCATAAACTACAGAAAATTGTCCTTGGACAAACTCCTGCTTTTAGACTGGCTGACAACAATAGACATGGTTAAGTTCAGGCTAAGAGCCATTAAACATAATTACTACCACAGGGTAAAAGTTTAATTGTGCTAAATTTTAAATCTGCATGGTCTATGCTTATTTACAAGCTGGCTGGATCTTCCTGTTACATAAAGGGGAATAAATCTGTACTTAAAAATTGTTGCCTTTTAACTTCAAAGGCAAGTGAATAAATAGGGTTTTTTAGAAGAAGCAAAACAACCCCAAACTGAAAACTTTATGTATTTCCAGCTTCTTTTATGCAAATGGCTCCGAGCTGGTAAGTAGAGGCTAAACATCTTCTGATAGATTTTTCTAATGCGCTTCAACTTTGTGTGTGTGAATGTGTGAGAGAGTGTTGCATCTGTTACGAAGGTGTCTGGGGGACAGAATGCAGATCAGTTTGTTCATGTGGGGTTATTTTAAATTTAACCACAGATGGGGCTTGGGGCAGAAGGTTTTTCCTCCTCCTCCTTATCTTCTCTCCCTCCTTCCAATAACGTTAAGCTCCCCACTTTAGGAAGTTTCAGCTCAAGTAGCTTCTGGATCAGGAGATATCAGAGGTGGCAGGTTTTCTACAAGCAAACAAAAAAAAAAAGGCAAAAGACTCTGTACATTTTGCATTTTCTTCCAACAGATTTTAAAAAAGTCATGTTCAGTGAGATACAAGTTACAGCATATTTTTAGGAGCATGGTGAATACATGGGGCTCTAAATCACTCCCTGAAAAGCAGATTAAAATTAGGAGGTGCTAGAATAGGTGTGAAATGTTCATCTGTAGGGAAAGGGAGGGTATGGAGGACTGTGAAACTTGATAGAAGAGACAAAGATTAGCACTCTGACTCGCTGGAAGCCACGTTATGTAGACATTAGAAGGCAACACGATTTCAGCTGGACAGAACATAAGCTTCAGATCTTATGCAAACAGTCAAAGCTGTTTAACAATTGGTTTACCCCCAAAACCCCTGAAAGGAGACAGGTGAATACGATGCCAAATACATTTTTCATGTTTCTTAAGCTAACTGTTTAAATAGTTAAGTGAACATCTGTCCAAATTTCCCCATCATTTCCATTTAGAAAAGTCTCCTATTTGAAGGCTGAAGAAAAGCACCTGCTTAACAATGCAAATGGTGCTGTCTGGGGCCCCTTTATTTTGTTTAATCTAGATTGAGCTCCACACAACTGTGATGCTAATGAATAATGGATATTTTATACTTGTGCATGTAGCAGTGCTGGGCACAGAGCAAATCTAGGATTAACCTCCCAGTTTCCCTGCCTAATGCATTTGACTCATTTTTTTGAGTTTGCTGTGACTTGGGTACTCTAAAAATGGATGCCTGGTTTTATGGGAAATGGGAAAATCCTGGCAAAAGCTGTCAGGCTTTGCTGTGCCCAAGTGGAAAGGGGCAGCTAGGCTGAGGAGGGGAGGGATGTCTGGAGTAATGGCTTGATTTGTGAGTGGGTGCTGAATGAGAGCCAGGGTGTTCCAGGGTGGAGACCTGGACGCTTTTCAGAGCTGCATTTTTCCAGTCTGCTCTGCTGGCGTTAGGCAGCCGAGGCCCGTGCCCAGCTGCCTCCCCTGCCTTGCCTGCCTGTGGGGGCAGGAGCAAGAGGGGTCAGCTTGCAGGGAGAAAGGGATTGCCTTTTGCTGGTGCAAATTATACAGCTGGGATTTCACTCTGCCTTTCAGCCTTCAGATGATGGAATGATGGGGGAAAAAATTTTGGTACTTCCTTTGCAGATTTTCCATCCTGCATGAGTGTTTCTGTTTTGGTTTGTGTGGTTTAGCTCTCAGGGAAAACTGCTGTTTCTTCATAGGAGGGCCTGGGATTTTCCAGCCAGGCCTAATGAAAGACCCCTGATACCACTTTTAAAGAAAAATAAGAGTGGGCTTTCTTACAGCTGGAGAGCGAGCTGACTTCGGGAGCACAGCACCGTAGGAGGGTGGGAGAGTTGTGTGGAGGTTTCTATAACACTGCTGGGTGTTTTAATTCACAATTACTGGCCAGTAATAATTAGTATTGATTTGCCTGGCAAATTGCAGGTTTAGAAATTGGTTATAGATTTTCCTGATGCTTCTCATCTGCGTGTTGTGGAATCAGCCAGAACCGATGGCTTGAAACAAACCGCGAGCCCAGCTCTGTCTGCGGGCAGCGGCGCGTTGCGTGCACGGAGCTAATGACCAGCAGGGATTGCACGTCTTCAGGCTCATCACCCCCAAAATACCATTTCTGTCGTCCCCTAGGCAAAGTGACTAACCACATGGACCAGAGGCTGGGGTGAACCTCGGTTCTGTCAGCCCGTGGCACCGTGCCCCTGCAGGGACACCTCGGGCGAGGGAGCCGCGGGAAGGATGCCGCAGTCTTGCTTGAGTCCCCCAGCAGGAGCTGCAACTGCAGCAGACATCTGGGGAGACAGATAGTGAAAGACAAGATGAAAATGGCAACGCTTCCAGTGCTGAAGGGCTGTCCTGGAGGGGCGGGGAGCTGGAGTGGAACGGCTGAGCATGCTGCTCAGGCCGCCGTGGAAGGGCTTAGCTGGCTCCCGGGAGGGCCAGGGAGGCAGGAGGAGGGAGGCACAGCCGGGCAGGAGGGCTTGCTCTCTGAGATGCTTGGAGAAATGCTGTGCACTCACTGCAAGGGAAGTTGTGCTTTTTCTTTTTAAGCAGCAGGTAAGCGAGGTTCTTCCTGAGCTCTGTTACAGCGCTGCCTTCCAGGATTGGCAAAGTTTGCAGGGCTTCTGTGTCCTGCTGCCAGGCTGCGGCCAAGCACAGCAAGCCCTTGCGGAGCAGGACAGGCAGCTCCCAGCACCTACCCCACTGCTGCAGAGAGGCAGATAGTTTTTGACTGAAATTTTGTGAGCCCCAAAATAGTGCTCTAAGTGTTTAATGCTTTTCTCCATTAGACAGCAAATTAGCCCTAGGCTCACAAACCAAATGAAGTTTCATCTCGATGATCGGAGCCTGCTCACCAGGCATTTTTATCCCAAGCTCCTGCACGCTGGTTGGTCAGTGAAATGGAGACTGCAACTTCTATTTATTGGTGCAATACAGTATTTGATACTGCTAATTACACTTAATTAGTCCTTCCACCATTTAATTAAAATGGCTTCTAATGATTGTGCTTCTTTGGCAGGCTCTTTGGTACCACCGGGAATTGTGCTGCCTGCAGTAAACTGATCCCTGCCTTTGAGATGGTGATGAGGGCCAGAGATAATGTTTACCATTTGGACTGCTTTGCCTGTCAGCTCTGCAACCAGCGGTGAGGACACAGTTATTGTACACACAAACTAATTTATACCTTTGCCCATGGAACAGGGGAAATGTTTGATGCACGCTGCCCGTGTGGGGCTCACAGCCTGGGGGGCAGGGCTGGGGCTGGGGGATCCAGGCTGACCTGGGGGATCCATGTGAGAGTACCTGTAGCCCTTTTACTGCAAATCCCCTTGGAGCTAGTGGGAATTGGAGGGGCAAGGGGGAGGACACAGACACAGACTGTCCAGCTGCTGCTGAATAAAACAAACTGCTCCAGCGTCCTTTCAGGGGCTGCCCTCTTTGCAGAAGGCAGATGATGGAGAATGGGCCTCCTCTAGCAAACTGACACTATCTCACTTAAATCACATTTCTGACATGTTCAAAACTGGGGGTGGAAAATAAGAAGTATTAAGAGAAGGGGCAGGAAGGAGAAAAATACTCTGGGCCCTTTCCAACACTAGGAACAAATCCATTTAGTTGTTGTGTAATTAATAGGGGATCTTGGTGGTATAATTATGAGTGGGGCTTATTTATTTCTGCTGGGACATCAGGGAGTATAATAAAGGGCCATGCACAGTGTTTTCACTTGAACTACCTGTAGCCAGTTGAGTTTGGGAGGTCTGTGAAAATTGTTCCCAGCACCATGTTGATCATCATAGGCAGAATTGAAGCCCACAGAACAGATGTGATACTTCTGATGCATCTACCTGTCCATCCTTGTCTAAGATAGACCTGGAATTGCTTGCAGTCCTTACTGCTTGCTTAGTCAGGCTGTGATGATTGCCCAGGGTCAAGGGCTGTGCTGGTGTTCCTGTTCTGGACCTGTGGTTGTTTTTCCCAAAGATGAAACTAGAACGCAATGCCTCATCCCATGGGAAAGCATGAGAGAGATGACAAAACTTGTGGGAAGATGGAGAACCCAATTCTGTAAAAGTCAACCTAAAATCCTGACTTAAACATTCCTTGCTCAGTCTAGAAAAGAGTCACAGTGGGATCTTTCACGAAGCAGCCACACACTTGTGTGAATGCAAACCCCTGCCAGCTTCCCCCGAACTTGGGAGATCCTGTCCGATCCTGCTCTCGCACCCTCGCCAGTGGCTCAGCCCTGGACATGACTTTGGTGTCAGCTGGTTGGTGCCAGGGCTCGGCGGAGGCGAATGAGGTGCCTTTCCTCGCTGGCCTGGTGTTATTCCAGGTACAGAAGTCCCATGAAGGCTGTCGCCGGCACGGCGCGGCGGCAGTGCCGGGGCGGCAGTGACATCTAGTGGCTCCTGGCCTTGGGCTCTCTGCGGGATCTTCCAGTTGCCCAGTCTTGTTCTGTGACTCTTGGAGACAGAGCCGATCCCACCTCATCCCCCGAGATGCTCATCCCACCCTGCTACGATCAGTGATCATCATCACTGCTACAGTCCCAGGCGGTTCTGGGATTTGTCTCCAGACTCCGGAGTGTGGTGGGTGCTGCCAGGCTCAGCCCTCTGGATCAGCTCTTTTCAGTCTCCTGGCGATTCCCAGGCAGGAGAGGGTTGCTCCCAAACTCCACACTGAACCTGGGGCTGGAGCATTATAAATGTCCTTTCAGGCTCTGGGCTGCACAGTCAGGAGTGCTGCTTGGCCTTGGAGTCCGCAGGCCGAGTATCTCTCATCAAACCCCTACAACCCCTACTTCACCCTTTTTCTCTCCCAGAAAATCCTAGTGCTGCCTAGTTTTCATTTGGAGTAATTTCTATTAAATTTCACCCTTTATTTCAAAGGCTCCAAAGCACCCCTCTTCCTCCCTTCCCTCTTCAATTGCCAGTGTGATGCCACTCTGTCCTTCAGACAAGCTCCAGGGTGTCACTGCCCAGCAGGAGAGTGCAGGTAATCCCCCTGTTCTGGCAGAGTTGTGCTGTGATGCACAAGGGATTTGCTCAGTTTGTGAGGGGCTGAGTTGTTCTGGAAGATGGGCTATGTGTAGATTCTTGCTTTTGGCTGAGGTCAGAGGGCTGCCAGTTTTTATGACTTACTCTGTGGAGATTTTGGCTTGAAAGGGTAGAATGGAAGTGATCCTGTAAGAGAGTACTGGATGCTGAACTGAGAACAGTGAGATTAAGTAACCCTAAAGTCAAAATTGCAGAGGTGGATGTCAGTTCTGGTTCTGAACTGGGAACCTCGCTGGAAACCCTGTCTTGTTCTTCGGCTCTGAAAAGATTTGATGATGAAGGCCTTTCCTCAGTTGTCTTCCAGCTTGCTTGCCCTTCTATAGCTGGGCTCTGTATAGTATCACAGCAAAATATCTAATATTTTTACCAAGTGTACAGGCTGAACTGAGAACAGTGAGATTAAGTAACCCTAAAGTCAAAATTGCAGAATTCCAGTTCTGGTTCTGAACTGGAACCTCACTGGAAACCCTGTCTTGTTCTTCAGCTCTGAAAAGATTTGATGATGAAGGCCTTTCCTCAGTTGTCTTCCAGATTGCTTGCCCTTTTATAGCTGGGCTCTGTATCACAGCAAAATCTCTACTATTTTTACCAAGTGTACAATGTTTTCATCACTTTCATTCCCTAAAACATCGGTTTTTCATCAAGTCCTGCAATACCACTCATCCTGCCATGCTTTAAACTGTTCTGAAGTTGTCATGGTCATCATAGTGCTGGATAAAAGCTGGTCACTGCTGTGACTGGCTGATAGGTCAGTGTTACAAGGGTTGCAGGAAATCCAGCTTGCCATTATCTGAAGTGTGGGTTTGCTGGGAAGAAAATCACTCTTAAGGAATGGCAAAGTAGGTTCAGCACCTATTTCTTACTGCTGCTGGCTGGAATTTGATTGCCCAGACAGGCTCTGCAACATCTCTGCTCTGAGCATGGGGGCTGGCAGTGTGAAACTGGGCCTCAGGTCACCCTGTTAAATCTTCTGTCTCCAGTTGTGATGCTTCAGCTGAAGAAATCCCAGTTTATTGGTGGGTTTGCAGGACTGGCAGGTAGAAACAGTAGCCTTTTCAGTGAATGAAACCCTTCCCCCAAAACTTCATGTCACATTAGGGTACCCCTGTAGAGCAGTTCAGTTCCCATGTGCTTGTACACACTCCCACACCTTCCAACTCCCAAAACTCCAGCTCTTCCTTTGGCTCCTCTACACCCAAAACCAGGTTTGGCAAGGGACAGCTGTTGATGGTGCTGGTGGCAAGAGTAATTTTTGCATTTCTCTTCCTGGAGATTTATATGGCACTTAAGGTGGGAATAAGTAGTGAAAAGCAAGCAGCTGTGTCTGTTATTTATTGTGAGTAAACCTGCTTCTGGGGAGGGTGGTGTTAAGGAGAGCATGTGCAGTAAAGTTTTTACCATAAGAGCTGTTAGTTGAAATTAGGGATAATCTTTATCTTTTTAACATGCAGAAAAGGTTGAATTTCAGAACTACTAGAGCATGTGCCACAGAGGGAAGAAGATGGAAGGTCTTCAGTGACATCCTATAAAGTGTGAACCAATGCCCAGTTCTCTGTCTACCAACATTAATCAGCTTATTTGCAGGTGTCCAGTTGCAGAAAACTTGTGCCTGTCCTGGGCCTATAAAGAAGCTCTAAAATTATCAGTCCTGTTCTTTTAGCAGAAAATAATCACTTTTGTGCTCTGCCTGAAGCTGCCTGAGTTACAGATGATGAAAGCACTTTAGACAAGGAGTAGGCAGCGCCAAAGCTCTGCCTGGGAGCAGGGAAAATGGCATTTGAGGTCTGTTAATCTTCTGGGGATGGGGTCACCCCCAATGACTTTCCTGTAGATATTTGGCCTTGCCAGAGGCTGGTACCTACCCCTTCCCCTCAGTGCAGAGCTGGCTTGAGGCACAGTGCCTGACCCAGGGTGTCTCTCTGCTTTAGGGACCTGAGGCTGGTTTCAATCTCAGCTCTTGGAGCAGCCTGTGCTCTGGTCTGTCATTGCCCTGCCAGTGTTATGGACAAAAAACAGCCCCTGAATTGGGTGCAGTGAACATTATTTGTTGTCTTAAGAAATAAAGATTAGCTTCTGATTCCTGAGCAAGCAGGCAGGGCGGAAAAAGCTATTGGCTGTCAATTCACACCTCTCCGATCTTATATGTGGAACTTTTTTGACCTTAATGGTCAAATAAAATTGTTAAATATCACAAGCTTCTCTGTCAACTTCAAGACAAACAGAACAATTTACATGGTATATAGAGAGCAGTGCCCTTCGCTCAATGAAGATAAAGGTTAGGAGTCCAGCCACCGAGAAATTTCTATTTATTGTTCAGCACTGTACACAAGGGGGTGAGGGAGGACTTAATAGCCAGTCCTTGCCTGGAAATTAGTGCAAATACTGCTTCACCCGAGGGAGCTGTGGAAATGTGGATACCAGCAAAAACTTCAAATAGGCTCCATGTAATATCGCCCATTTGATTTCCTGGTTGGAGAGCCAACATCCCTTGTCTGCAGGGACAAATCCCTTAACTGCTCGCAACCTCCTCCTGCAGCTGGCACGGGACCCTGCAGGGAGTGGGACCTGCTCCCCAAGCTGCTCCCTGTGGCCTGGAGCCAAGCACAGATGTGCCAGGGAAAGGGACAGCAAAACCCTGGGATGGCAAGGGGAGAAGCACTGGCAGAGCTGGAAATCAAACTCTGCTCACCAGAGTCACCTTTGGACCCAAACTGCCTCATATTCCCCCCGTTCTCACGTCTGTTCGTATTCACACCCACCAATCCTTTTTTTTATCTTCCAGATTCTGCGTGGGGGACAAATTTTTCCTGAAGAACAACATGATCTTGTGTCAGATGGACTATGAGGAAGGGCAGCTGAACGGGAGCTTCGAGTCCCAGGTTCAATAACAGCCCCTGCTTCGCTGGAGCACTGTGGGATGGGCGCTTGGCCGCACGAGCAGCGAGGGCGCCTGTCAGCTTGCCTGCAATATTTTTTTAATTCTTGGTCCAGAGAGGACTATATACATTGTAGTACTTTTCCCCCCCAACACAAAGCAGTTACAATTTTAGATGTACAGTTGTGCCTGCTTAGCTGAGCACTGCATTGCCTGTATGTTTGTGAGTTTTTGGGGTCTGGGGGAGGGCTCTGTACAGTCTGTTTTCTGTATATAAACTGGAACATTTATTTTATGAAAAATGTAATGCAATTTTATTACTGGTGTGAATTAAAAATTATGAATGTTTCCTGGTCATCTTTGCCGTGGTTTCTTCCCCGTGTGGCAAAAGCCTGTATTTCCTGTGCTTTAGCTGAGCAGACTGTTGGAAACGTGTACATAGATCCCTGGAAACGGCATGGATCACAGCAGAGGCAAGTTCTCTCGTAATAACTGGGGGAAATGCTGCTGCAGGGTTGTGGAGACTTCCATCCAACCACCTGCTTCCCTGTATAATGGGGGGAATGAGCTGGGGGCAGGTGGTGGCTGGGAGCCATTGGCATCGCTGGCGGGGCTGCCGTGCCGTGCTGGGCTGCTGGCTGAGAGGCTCCTTGTGGATTCAGACAGAGCATTGCCATGGAATTCCTGCTGGCTGCCTGATCCCGTGTCTCCAGTCTGGGCTGCAAGGAACAGGCTCCCTGCAGCCCTGCCAACAGGTGCCTGGGCATTGATCAGAATATTAATTTCAAGGCTTTGCTAGGCAGTGGGATTTTCCCATGGGGCATCACTTGTCCAGGTCAGAGCTGCTGCGAGAGCTGATGTCAGGGCTGGGACGTGACCGGGCGCTGATGCAGCAGATCCCTGCTCCCAGCCCTTTTGCTTACTCTGTGCCAGGTGCTTTGACCTCCCACGAAATAAAAGCAATCAGATTTGAAGCATCTTCCGGAGAAAAAATTCTGAACTGTGTTCCTGCTGCGATGCTTTGTGCAATGATTTTCAAGGTTATGCAATTCATGTGCAACCCACTGGACTGTATCAAACACATTTCTTTGTATAGTGAGTGTCACTTTAATATAGTGCACCAGTAGCTGTAAAGGATGGCTGCAATTCTATTTATTTTGTCTTCTTGCTTTTTCTTAGATTTACCCCCCTTTCCTTTAATAAATAGACACCGAGTACTTTTTTTCTGATGTGACTTAATTGGTTGCTGGTCCTGGGTCGCTTGTGTGTGTTCTCTGAATTGCAAATGCCAGGTGCAGTGCAGCTTGGTGCTGCTCTGCCTGTTGCATGAAATGCTTTTATGTACACCTGTGCTGAATAATGGCTAAGCAGAAGCAAAACACCACCAGACACTTAGCATGCTTCAAAATATCGCCTGTCATCTAGAGCTACCACAGACATGTGGATTGATTCAGTGATTTTTCTTCACAAACAGATGTTTTGGGTTGGGAGACCCAGTATAAAATGCGTGGCCTCATCCCTTTTTATCCCCGTAAACATGGAATAGCAATTAAAAAGCCACTTAGAGCTGCCTATGGATATGTGGTGTTTAAACTGCTGCTCCATTTTAGTGCTTTTTGGGGTGGGGGGAGGTTGTCTCTTGGGAAACTGTAGAGTTGATGCTGTTTTTGTAGAGGCTGTTGGAGGCAGCCACCCTGGGGCTACGGAAGGAGCAGCTTGTTGCCCAAATGTTTCCATTCCTTGCTTTGAAATGGGCTGCCAGACAGCCCCTGCCCCTGCCTGTGCTCTGGATTGATGGATCCCTGCCTGCTTGCCTGCCAGTGGGATTTGCTGCAATTCAGCACACAGTGGCAGGGCAAGGCTGCTGTCCTGTGGTGAGGAGGGAAGCAGTAAAACCAAACCAAAACCACTCACCAAACAAGCTGGAGAGACTGTTCAGTTTCAGTTCAGATTCTTAGGGTGGGTTTTGGCACCAGTTTAGAAATGCAGTCCTTCAGAGATAGGTACCTTATTACACCATGGGCCATGACTCAGGAGCAGTGGCTTCCCATTGCCTCCCTGCACTTGCCCTTGTTGGCAGCAGTCCCCTGCTGGGGTGCAGGGGCTTCATTTCTGATGGGCAGCCCTCTTGATTTTTCACCATTGCTGTAGATCTGATTCCTGATTCCTAAAGAGGAATTTCATGATGTTGGCTCATGCAAAAGCCCCAGCTGGAGCCTGGGTGGATGGGAGGAAAGCCTGGGGCAGGACACAACTCCTCAGCGCTGAATAGGGTGGGGCAAATGTCCAATTGTCTTGTATTTAAAAAAGAAAAAATACAAGGGAGAAACTGTGCAGCGTCTGTATCCCTCTTTTCTGTGTCTGCACAGCAGACAAGGCCTACCTGCCACAGCCCATGCCCCAAAGAGCATTGGAGGTGGGACACCTTTAAAAATAAAAATCCCAGGAGGACAGTGCAATCATGAATTCTTGTCTGAATGCTGCAAATTTGCTTAATAGAAACAAGGGCTGGAGTGCAGACCTGCTCCTGAATAATCGCTTCCACTCTACGGAGCAGAGCACGGAAACCTTTTGATGGTGTTATAGTCATCACTTGGCATAAATATTCATTCAAGGAATCAGAGCAGAGTAAATGGCATTTTAGCTGCTAATAATTTAGTATTAGCAGATAGCCTTTTTACTGCTAAAGATAACCACTGCTTAATCAGTTTAGTGACCACTGGCATATAGTATGACATTTAAGCCTGTGCCTCAGTGCCCGTGTTGAGGACACAGCTGCTGGTGACCCCTCTGCCCAAGCCTCCATCGTTCCCAAAGTCAGCCCCAGCTGCCAACTGCACTCAACTGCCTTTAACTTCTGCATTATCTGCCATTTGCCTCCTTATCTTAGATCAAAGAGGAATTTTAAGTTCATACTACGGATGTTAAAATCTAGGATCTTCTGTCTCTTTCTCTTTTTGTGGTCGGGGCTAATGGCTGATCACAGCACAGTCTGATTTTGAGATTAAAAAACAAGCCAGTGTTTAAAGGCAATCAAAATCTTAGGCTTCGTCTCCATTCATCTTTAATGCTGGTGTAATTGCTGCACAGATTCTGGCTCTTCCTGCAGACTTAATTTATTTTATTTTTGGAGCATGCCCCTGTCTGTCAGAGGGATGTTATACTTCCCTGAGCAGCATTAGCGCTATTGAGCACTCCGCCACCGGCAATCCAGCTCACCCCATTTCATATCTTGCCAAACAAGTTAATCTAATATTAACAGCGGTTTGTTACCTCGTTGTTAGCTTAATTTACTTTACAAGAAATGCTATATTTGCATTTCATCCCTCTGTCACTGGCTTGTGAACCGCGCTTCCCAAGGCCAAGAAGGGACGGCTCAGTCCCTGGGCACGGCACTGCCACACGGGGAGGGGGCCATCACCCCCACCAGGCATCTTCCCTAATTGGCCAGGGGGGATGTGGGGAGCTCGGAGGAGGATTTCCAAAGCCACAGAGCAGGTCCTGGAAATGCAATATTGGGAGTAGCATAAATGCCGCTGCTGCTCTTCCAGTAATAGAGCTGAGTCGTAGACAGCAGCTTTCCCTGGCGGCAAACATATCCAGGAAATGTCTTTAGTATGGAAATCAGCAGACCTATGGGCACGGGGCAGACGTCTGCAACACCAACAGCTTCCTCAGGCCTTCAGGGAGTGCCCCTGCACACCCCAGGGACTCACCCAGGTCTGTCTGTCCGCCACAGACAGCACGGTGAGGGCCCTGTGCCTCACTTCCAAATCGCGGGGGTGAGGGAGCTGTGAGCAAAGTCCTGCAAGCAATCGTGCAAAAGCCACTTCCCCAAATGATCCAGCAGCCGCATGGAGCAGTGCCAGCTGATGTGCTGGTGGGCAGGGGGATGGAGCTGGGGGTGCCCCACGGGGTGACATCAATGATCCCACACTTGGGGCTGTCCCAGCTAGGTAGGAATGTGGAGTTGTTGGAGGTGGAAATGGCTTTCCAGTGAAAGCTTCTGACTTAATTGTTCACGGGCTCACTCTGTGTCCCACTGATAAACCCTGTCCTTGTTTATGGGGCCCTGACCTCCCACCTCCTCCAGCAGCTGCTGCCTTCCACTGCTTAAAGGAAGGGAATGACCTGGGTGTCTTGCTCTGGTTTTAATAGCAAAATGCTGAAGGATACCAAGGGCAACTCTGGCCAGGCTGAGACATCTGGCAGGGCAGTTTTGTAGTGCTGAAGGTTTTTAGTGAAGGTCTGACAGAAAGCAGGGTTGGAAGGACCAACCCAGAGAAACAGCAGGAAACAGAAAGGTGGAATTAAGTAGGGGATCAGCTGTAGATGAAAGCATCAAATATTGGGTGATTTTTGTGAGCAATTGGAAGGCAAGTGCCCAGAACAAGAGCAGTTTTGCCACAGAAGCATTATGAAGCCCCTCATAAGTGATGTAAACAGTGAAAGTGTAAATATAAGTGCACATCCAGCCTCTACTGCTGACTGGCCACGTGAATCTGAAGCTGCAGGAGCTTCCTGGAAGGAATGTTTGACTGCTAACTTAAATTATTTGAGGAGAGGAAGAAGGTGCTGCCTGCTGTCTGCCTGAAGGGGAGCAGAGGGGCCAGCTGCCTGTTTTAGTCCTTGATAATAACACTGCTGGAAAGAAATGTTGCTAATGCAACCTGGGCTTTTATGGGTGATTTTACTTAGAAAATTACCTTGAGAATAGCTTTATTATTATTGAATAGGATCAGGCATTTTCTTAAAGGTCTTGACATCCCTACAGAAACTAGAAAATTGTGATTTTATTTAATGAAAATATTGTTGTTCAAAACCTATTTCACTCTGGGGCTTACCCTTCAGGCCCATGTGCCTCCCAGCAGTGGAAAAGCCTCAATGGTTTCCTCTGGTCTGCCTCTCCCTCTGCAGCTCACACAGGGATTTTTCACCCCCAGAATGCTTCCCTATGCACTTTGCCATCCATGTCTATCCCAGTGGGGTTACAGATAAGCTTTTTAGTGGTAATAGAGTGGCCATCAGTGCTGCTCAGAAATGCTGCCACCCTCCAAGGACAAACTCTGGTGACAGCCACCCTGGATCGCTCTTCTCTCCTTGGCTTTGGGTCCCATCACGGTGGTGACTCCTCAAGCCATGGCCTCCAGCTGGTGCCTCAAGGGCAGTGGATGTTCAAAACACTGCCCAAGGTGTCCCTGTCCCCATCCTCCAGCAGCAGCTATAGGAAGGGCCCCAGTCTTCAAGAATGGCTTTTCAGAAAGTCTGTTATTTAATTTAAGTAACCCCTTTAACGCCCAGCGCTTGGGTTCAGAAGGAGGGACTTCTGTTTGCAGTTTGGTTTTCTG